ACAGCTTCCTGTTAGGCAGTCTAAGGCATCATCCACTCTTGGAGTGGGATACTGGACAGGGATTGTACATCTATTCAAAGTACAATAATCTACACACATGTGTACATACCCATTCTTTCTTCTGGCAAAAACAGCCAGGGAGGCATAAGGACTTTTAGAGTTCCTGATGATTCCTGCCATCTTCAATTCCTGGGTATATTTCCAAACATCTTTGACCCTGGCAGGTTCTAGCCTCCTCGATCTTTCCTGGAAAGGCCTATCCTCATTCAGCCAAATGTGATGTTCAACTCCCTTGGCAAAACCCACATCCTACTCACAAGTGGAGAGCTCTTCGGGTCTTTGCACTTGTTTCTATTTCCCTCTCTCTTTCCACACTGGAGGAACTGGGGAGTTCCCAAAGATAAAACTTCTCCTGTGTCAAATAGTCTCTCTCTGTTCCTTGCAGGTGGCCCAGAATGTTAATATCAAATCCTTTCCACTTCCATTGCTTCCAAACACACCCTCCAAAGTTAAGATGTATTTAGGCACAGTTGCCTCTGGGTAGAGTGCCCTGATAGTTTCAGAAGCAGCAGGTCTTTGCCAATGCTTAATTTTTAATTAAAAAGGTGCCAGGGCTGAAGCAATGATTTAATTTTAACTTTTAAACTTGTTATATCTTTGAATGGGCAGCAGTGTTGTTGTCATTATTACCAATGACAATAATACCTCTGCACATTCAGTCATAGCAAGTTTGTTTGAAAGAGTAACCTACAGTACACATTGATGTTAGATATTTACAACCACGTGTGAAACCTTCACCAATATAGTCACCACTGTTACAAAATTGCAATAAATCGTGTATGAAGTATGCCTTTTAAGGTATCACTGGAAAAGTTATAATCTGCTAAGTATCATTATCCTGTTTAAATGTGTGTATCACCATTGTGTATGAAGTTATGAAATTTTGCTGTATGCTTGTTACTAAACATGTGTTCCTGGGTAACACCCACAAGACAGATTTACATCAAGACTAGCCAGCCATGTGTTGATGGGCCATTAAGGAGAATCAACTCTTCCAGTGGGCCCCTCCCATGGACGCATCACAGAGCATGTGGACAATGGATGCCTCATGACACAGCAGGGCACATAAACATGTGATTCATGACTCCATGCTTAAGACAGTAACGTTCCATGCACGTGGACATGGGACATAAATTGGAGACTATGATCATCATCTCCTTGCCTCTTTCCTGTTCCACATCTCTGGACTATGATTTCTAACAAAAGGGAGCCCGAACAATGGACTGAAGTTTCCAATTGTTTAGATGTACCTGAGATACTTACTGCAAACTTGCAGATTTAACATGACTGCCATTATCCTGATCTATAGACTGAAATCAACTGTAATGTATGATTCACTTTAATCTTTTAATAATTTTCTTCTTTTGTTTTTTTATTAATAAATCTCTAGTTTCACTTCTGAAGCAATCTTTAGTAAAGTAAGTAAGCCGGTACGGTCTGGTACGCTCTGCCAGACTGGACCGGCTTCCCTGGTGGTGATTTAAACAGCCTAAGGCTCCAGCTGCTGTGGGGAGCCCCAGGCCCTTTAAGTGCCGCTGGAGCTCCAGCAGCAGGGCTTGGGTGGTACTTTAAAGGGCCTGGGGCTCCCTGGAAAGGCAGGAGCACCGGGCATTTTAAATCCCTGCCTGAGCCCTGCTGCCCGGGGGTGGCGTTGGCAGGGCTCCTGCAGTGATTTAAAGGGCCCAGAGTTCTGTGGCGTCCAGAGCCCTGGGCCGTTTAATTCACCCCAGAGCCCCGGGGCTCCCAGCCACCTCTGCAGCTGGTAGCTCCGGGGTGATTTAAAGGTCCTGGGGCTCCCAGCCACAGCCCTCCAGAGCCCAGGGCCTTTAAATCTTGAGAGGCCCCGCCTCTTCCCATTGAGGCCACACCCCCACTCAGGACTCCGGCATACCAGTAAGTACTTTAAGTTACTTTCACCCCTGGGTTGCTTGCAACGTGATATTTGATGAGATCCTGAAATACATATTGACCTGGGGTGAGTGTCTGGCTCTTTAGAGTTGGAAGAACTTAATATGTGTGATTTCTGGTTTTAAAAAATCATTCAGCACATAAATTCAGTTTGTCTGGGTGGCAAGCCAGGGGCTGGATTGTCTAAAGATAGACTATTTGTGAATCCATGTTAAGCTACTGTAGCAATAAAGGAGTACACACTGATTGCTGCTTAGGCTAAATCTAATTATAGAATATGCCACCAGGAGGGTGCAACTGCCCTGTTTTTTAACAGCCTGACCTGAGTTTGACGTTTTCAGCTGTGACCCATATCATGCACTGTGACATCACATATTCGACATAATATACAAACTAGTAGTTTGTGCAGAAAAAAAATTAAAAGCGACTGCAGAAAAAAACAAAAAAACCCATTCAATATATTCCCTAGCTACAGACTAATCCACCTTTGCTCTGGCTTTCCTCGTGTTATTACAGAATATTATTCCTTCACCTCTCTCATTCTCAGTCATCCTAAAGCCCTCTCTCCTGCTACCAGTGCCGGTTCCAGCATTTTTGCGATGGGCGGCAGCAATTCGGGAAAAAAAGAAAAAAAACGCGATCACGATGAGCGGCGGCAATTCAGGAAAAAAAAAAAGCCGTGATCGGCAGCAGCAATTCGGCGGCAGGTCCTTCGCTGAGAGAGGGAGTGAGGGACCTGCCACCACCGAATTTCCGTATGTGCCGCCCCTCTCTGTTGGCCATTAAGCTGGTGCCTGGAGCCGGCCCTGTCTGCTACACACACACATTTACGCAACCATTCTTTATTCAGTTGAAATAACGATAGTTGCAGTATCGTGTTGTACTAATAAATAAAAACCAGTTACGGTGAATAGCAGTAACATAATTTAAATAAATCAATAATAAAAGTTGTTAATTATGTCTACTTTATTATTAGGGAAAATTGTTAATGGAAATCAACAAATTATACTTTGCCAAGGACTGAATGAATGTAACCAACATAAAAAAAAGGTTTTTTTCTTGTACCTGGTAAATTTTATAGTTCTTGTCTGTGGGTTTTATCATCTATCTCTGTGTCTGTATCCTTTTTCTCACCAGCCGGCTCATTCTCATTTACACCAGATTTAGAAAAATACGACCACAGTGTTTTTCTATCACTTCTAATAGTGGGGATGCTAAAATCCAGCCCTCTTACACCTCTCCCCCCGCCTCCCCCATCGCTGGTGCCGGGAGAAGGGACTTGTCTCCGGGAGGAGGAGACCCGAATGCGGTAAAGAGGCTGAGGCTGGGGCAACAGTTGGGGCTAGCACAGGGCCAGGAGTGGAGCCCCGGGTGTGGGTGCCATCTTTGGCCTTGGGCGTGGGGCCATCAGCGAAGACCTGGGCATGGACCCAAAATCCAGGACCCCACGTTTGGGACCAGGAGTAGAGCTGTGCATAAAATTTCGCAGGGCTGCAGCACCCCCCACACCCATAATTCCTGCACCAATGTCCAACCATAACTTCCCCTGACCTTGTGACATTTTATAAAACACTAATTACGCTTATCACCTCAACAATAACTGATGGCCACTGTGCAAAGTGTTGATGCTAATGTGTCCCACAAGCAGCAGCACAATGCTCCAGGGATGTTCCTCTGGAAGCTTAATGATGTGTGAGGGCCTGGGAGACTTGGGCCTGCGTGAGCAGCTGGAGATGGTGGAATAAGCCTGTCGGACGGCTGAGGCAGGGCTCCAAAAACATGCCAGCAGCAGGAAGATCTGTCCTGAAAGCTAAAAGACTCTGAAGAAAGATGAGAGCGGCTGGTGGGACATCTTCGGGCAGCACAGGTTAGAGAACCCCCCTTCCCACATGTATGGGATTTTGAGGGGGGGGATATAGCAGGACAGTAACCCCACTCCCTGAAGGGTTAAAACAGCCCTTGGAGAGGGCCGTGGTTGGGGAAACCTGGGCTGATCGGGGATGTAACCACAGCTGGGCTGCGCCCCAATCAGGCTGCAGCTGGCCCTATAAAAGGGCTGTGAACTAGACGCTCAGTAGACTCTCTCTCTAGCTTTGAGAGGGAGGAACCTGGCTGCAGGGAGCTGAGGGAAGGTACCTGGAGTGGAGCAGGGCTGGGGGAAGGCCAAGGGAGTTGGGTAGCTCTGGCCTGGAAATGCCCCAGGCTGTGGCCTAGTGGAAGTCTAAACAGGTAATAGAGTTCCAGGGGACAGCGGAGGCAGCAGGTCCAAATCCAACCTTGCCTATGATGAGTGGCATATACTGCAGTCCGCCCCAGAGAGCGGGGGCTAGTTGGTGACTGGCAGTAGCTTACGATTGAGGCGAGGTGGGCATGCGGATCCTGCTCCCGCTGTTATGACTGCAGCTCTTGTGGGACATGCGGAATCCTAGGGCATTCTGAAGCAGTACTAGCATACCGTGGGTCCTGAGAACCAACGGACATAACAGTGGGAAGAAGACAATAATTCATCAACAATGTGGGAGTGAGTGGGAGTGGGTATTGCGGGGGCAATAAAGGAGTGGGATTAAATAAATAGAAATCCCATTCTGCAGACTACATGAATGCCCAGCTTTGAAGGCAGAGTCACCACCAGCAGCAGCACAGAAGTAAGGGTGGTTTGGTATGGTATTGCCATTCTTACTTCTGCGCCACTGCTGGCAACAGCTCTGCCTTCAGAGCTGGGTGGCTGAAAAGCAGTGGCTGTTGGAAGGGTGCTCAGCTCTGAAGGCAGCACCATTGCCAGCAGGAACACAGAAGAGAGGGAGCCACCAGTATGATATGATATGGTAACATGACCCACAGGATCCCGATCCTGCTGCAGGCCTTTACCTCCTTCCCTTTTTTCTCTGTCCATTTTTCCACCTCCTTTGGCTTTGCACCCTGGGCAGCTGCCCCCTCAACCAACCCTGGTTACAGCCCTGATGGATACAACTGTGTTGAGAATTGTAAGAAAAACATATTTCAGAGAAAAAAATAGAGATATTTTCTTGTACCTAATACATTTTCTGGTTCTTTTCCATGGGTTATATCATCCATCTTTCTTTCCACTTCCTTTTTCTCACCAGAAGGCCCATTCTCACTTGCACCTGATTTAGAAAAAGATGACCACACTGTTGCTCTATCACTTTTAATAGTGGGGGTGCTGAAAGCGAGCCCTCTTACCCCTCTCCACCCCTTCCCCCACAGCCAGTATCCCAAGCAGGGCCTTGTCTCTGGGTGGGGGAGACCTGGACCGGGTAAGGAGGCTGAGGCTGGGGCCGTTGTTAGGGCCGGCTCAGGGACAGGAGCGGAGCCTGGATGTGGATGATGGATTTGACCATGGGCGTGGGGCCATAAGCGAAGGCCTGGGCACGGACCCAACATCCAGGAGCCCATTATCGGGGTCAGGAGAAGAGCCGTGGGTAAAACTTCATGGCGCTGAAGCACCCCCCACACCCATTGTTCCTGCACCTATTTACGATCATATCTTCTTCTGACGTTGTGAGATTAACTCAAACACTAATTATGCTGATCACGTCAACAATATCTGATGGTCATTGTGTGAAGTGTTGACGGTAATGTGTCACACAAGCAGCAGCACAATGCTCCAGGGAGATTCCTCTGGTAGCTTAATCATGTGTGAGTGGAGGCAAAGTACTGAGCTACTGCTGTTTGAATCTCTGATGCTCATGAAAGAGCTTTCAAAATGGATACCAGTGCAATAACCAGGCATTTTAGCACCCGAGGTGAGAGATGATATTTGTGCCCCCTGCTAGAGCCCTGCATAGGATTATATTTTTATTCCACCTCCCCTCCTGCCCCACAATACCCACTCTCATTCCACCCATTCCAGCATCCTTTGTTGAATCTTTATCCTGCTGCCATTGTTATGGCTGCTGGTCTTATAGGATAGCTAGAATCAGAGCAAGTCCTGCAGCGGTACTAGCATAACCTGGGTCCTGCAGAAACAATGGCCATAATAGTGGAAAGACGACAATAAGTCATCAACAATGTGGGAGTGAGTGGGAGTGGGTATTGTGGGGGCGATACAGGAGTGGGATTAAACAAATAAAAATCCCATGCTGCAGACTACATGAATGCCCAGCTTTGAAGGCAGCATCACCACCAGCAGTAGCGCAGAAGTAAGGATGGCAATACCATACCAAGCCACTGCTGGCGACAGCATTGCCTTTAGAGCTGGGTGGCTGGAAAGCAGTGGCTGTTGGAAGGGTGCTCAGATCTTTAGGCAGCACCATTGCCATCAACAACACAGAAGAAAGGGTGGCACCGGTATGGTATGATATGGTAACATGACCCACAGGATCTGGGTCCTGCTGCAGGACTCTATCCCTTCCCTTTTTTCTCTCTCCATTTTTCCACGTCCTTTGGCTTTGCACCCTGGGCAGCTGCCCCCTCACACATCCCTGGTTACAGCCCTGATTGATACAACTGTGTTGAGAACTGAAAGAAAAAAATATTTCAGAGAAAAAAATAGAGATATTTTCTTGTACCTAATAAATTTCCTGGTTGTTTTCTTTGGGTTTCATCATCCATCTTTTTGTCCGTTTCCTTTTTTTCATCAACCGCCTCATTCTCACATGCTTTAGAAAAAGACGACCACATCATTGCTTTATCACTTTTAATAGTCAGGGTGCTGAAGGCCAGCCCTCTTACCCCGCTCCCCCACCTTACCCCATCACTAGTGCTGGGAGCAGGGCTTATGTCCGGTAGGGGGAGACCCGGATGGGGTAAGGAGGCTGAGGCTGGGGCCACTGCTGGGGCTGGCACGGGGACAGGAGCGGAGCCCTGGATATAGATGAAAGATTTGACCGTGGGCGTGGGGTCATCAGCGAAGCCCTGGACCCGGACGCAGCATCCAGGATCTGACGTTCTGGGCTGCGAGTGGCGCCATGGTTAAAACCTTGTGGGGCTGCAGCACGCCCCACACCCTTAGTTCCCACCCTTATTTATGACCATATCTTCTTCTGACCTTGTGAGATTAACTCAAACACTAATTATGCTTATTGCCTCAACAATAACTGATGGTCATTGTGTGAAGTGTTGACGGTAATGTGTCACACAAGCAGCAGCACAACTCTCCAGAGACGTTCCTCTGGTAGCTTAATCATGTGTGAGTGGAGGCAAAGTACTGAGCTACTGCTGTTTGAATCTCTGATGCTCATGAAAGAGCTTTCAAAATGGATACCAGTGCAATAACCAGGCATTTTAGCACTCGAGGTGAGCGATGATATTTGTGCCCCCTGCTAGAGCCCTGCATAGGATTATATTTTTATTCCACCTCCCCTCCTGCCCCACAATACCCACTCTCATTCCACCCATTCCAGCATCCTTTGTTGAATTTTTATCCTGCTGCCGCTGTTATGGCTGCTGGTCTTATAGGATAGCTAGAATCCCAGCAAGTCCTGCAGCGGTACTAGCATAACCTGGGTCCTGCAGAAACAATGGCCATAATAGTGGAAAGACGACAATAAGTCATCAACAATGTGGCAGTGAGTGGGAGTGGGTATTGCGGGGGCGATACAGGAGTGGGATTAAACAAATAAAAATCCCATGCTGCAGACTACATGAATGCCCAGCTTTGAAGGCAGCATCACCAACAGCAGCAGCACAGAAGTAAGGGTGGCTTGGTATGGTATTGCCATCCTTACTTCTGCGCTGCTGCTGACGACAGCGCTGCCTTTAGAGCTGGGTGGCTGAAAAGCAGTGGCTGTTGGAAGGGTGCGCAGATCTTTAGGCAGCACCATTGCCATCAACAACACAGAAGAAAGGGTGGCACCGGTATGGTATGATATGGTAACATGACCCACAGGATCTGGGTCCTGCTGCAGGACTCTACCCCTTCCCTTTTTTCTCTCTCCATTTTTCCACGTCCTTTGGCTTTGCACCCTGGGCAGCTGCCCCCTCACACATCCCTGGTTACAGCCCTGATTAATACAACTGTGTTGAGAACTGAAAGAAAAAAATATTTCAGAGAAAAAAATAGAGATATTTTCTTGTACCTAATAAATTTCCTGGTTGTTTTCTTTGGGTTTCATCATCCATCTTTTTGTCCGTTTCCTTTTTTTCATCAACCGCCTCATTCTCACTTGCAACTGATTTAGAAAAAGACGACCACATCATTGCTCTATCACTTTTAATAGTCAGGGTGCTGAAGGCCAGCCCTCTTACCTCGCTTCCCCACCTTACCCCATCACTAGTGCTGGGAGCAGGGCCTTATGTCCGGTAGGGGGAGACCCGGATGGGGTAAGGAGGCTGAGGCTGGGGCCACTGTTGGGGCTGGCACGGGGACAGGAGTAGAGCCCTGGGTATGGATGAAAGATTTGACCGTGGGCTTGGGGTCATCAGCGAAGCCCTGGACCCGGACCCAGCATCCAGGATCTGACGTTCTGGGCTGCGAGTGGCGCCATGGTTAAAACCTTGTGGGGCTGCAGCACGCCCCACACCCTTAGTTCCCACCCTTATTTATGACCATATCTTCTTCTGACCTTGTGAGATTAACTCAAACACTAATTATGCTTATTGCCTCAACAATAACTGATGGTCACTGTGTGAAGTGTTGACAGTAATGTGTCACACAAGCAGCAGCACAACTCTCCAGAGACGTTCCTCTGGAAGATTAATGATGTGTGAGTGGAGGCAGAGTGTTGAGCGACTGCTGTTTGAACCTCTGATGCTCATGAAAGAGCAATATGTATATCAGTGCCATAACTAGGCATTTTATCACCCAGGGTGAGTGATGATATTTGTGCCCCCTGCAAGAGCTCTGCATAGGATTATATCTTTATTCCAAGTCCACTCCTACCCCACAATAGCCTCTCACGCTCCACCCACTCCCACATTGTTTGTTGAATTTTTATCCTGCTGCCACTGTTATGGCTGTGGGTCTTGTGGGACGTGTAGAATACCAGCAAGTTCTGCAGTGGGACTAGCATATTGTGGGTCCTGCAAAACCAAGGGCCATAATAGTGGGAAGAAGACAATAATTCATCAACAATGTGGGAGTGGGTATTGCGGGGATGATACAGGAGTGGGATTAAGTAAATAGAAATCCCATTCTACAGACTACATGAATGCCCAGCTTTGAAGGCAGAGTCACCACCAGCAGCAGCACAGAAGTAAGAGTGGCTT